CCTCCTCTTCCTCTCTCCCTCCCACCCTGTCCTCTCCCTCCCCTTATTCCAAACCCTTGGATTTTGGAATACAAAAAAAGCCACTCTGGCGCTTTCCTCCCTTGCCTTTTTCTCCCCTCTCTCCGCATTTCTTCTCCCAGTTAAAAAAAAACCTCACCAAAAAAAGATCTCTCAAAAAAACCCCAACCTCCCACACCTTGGAGCTTTTTGAAATTCAAAGTGAGACCAGTGAGTTCACTTTGCCAAAAAGAGGGAATGAGCTCCCTGCCTATTCCAGCATCCCCCCCACCAAAAAAAAATAAATCCCGATTTTTGTCCATTTAGAGGCTTTTTAGGATGCAAATTCCCAGTCCTGGTATGTAAATTCCCTGTGCTGGGATGTAAATTCCCGGTGCTGGGATGTAAATTCCCGGTGCTGGGGCTCACCTGAGCTCCACGAAGCCGCCCACCAGCGCCAGCGAGATGAAATCCTTGCCGTGTTTCTGGGCATTGTAGAGGAGCAGCCCGCTGGGCTCCAGGGCCCGGAATTCCATGGAAATCCTCACCGTGTGGTAGGCCCTCATGGTCTTGAAGGCCAGGTAGGATTTGCCCCCGAAGCTGGGGATGAAGTACCCGACAGCTGCGGGGACAGGAGGGGACACAGGGACACAAAGCTGGGAATGTTCTCCTGCCTGTGAAGGATGGGGTCCTGGGAATTATCCCTCCAAGGAATGTTCTCCTGGAAATTATCCCTCCAGGGAATGTTCTCCTGGGAATTATCCCACTCAGAGAATGTTCTCCTGGGAATTATCCCTCCAGGGAATGTTCTCCCAGAAATTATCCCTCCAGGGAATGTTCTTCTGGGAAATTATCCTCCAGGGAATGTTCTCCTGGAAAACGATCCCTCCAGGGAATGTTCTCCTGGGAATTATCCCACTCAGGGAATGTTCTCCCAGGAAACGATCCCTCCAGACACTCAGAGCAGTAACCCCAGACTCCTCTGGTGACCCTGGGTGACCCCAGGTGACAGAGTGACACTGGGTGACACTGGGTTATGCTGGGTGACACTGGGTGACCCCAAGTGACCCTGACAGTGGGGTGACCCTGGGTGACCCTGAGTGGCTCTGGGTGACCCTGGGTAACCCTGAGTGGCTCTGGGTGACGCTGGGTGGCCCCAGGTGACGCTGCCACGAGCTGGGACAACAGAGCAGCAGCTCCCGAGCTCTTTGGTATCAGGGCAGAGCTGGGGAGGAATTGCTCCTGCTCACCTTTTCCAGCCTTTTGGACCCACACGAGCTGTGGTGGCAGAGCTGGCACAGCTGGTGGCACCAAGCCCTGCTGTGCCAGGGCTGATCTGGGGGCTGGTTTGCACCTCCCCCCGTCCCTCTGTCTCTACTCCATGGTCTTGTAGCTGTTTCCCATCTCTGGAAGTGTCCAAATCCAGGCTGGAACAACCTGGCACAGCGGGCCCGCACCCCCGCCCACGGGAATGGATTTTTCAGGCCCGCAAGGGGGGATTTTTTGGGAGCAGCACGTACATTTGTCACACACGGCCCCTCCTCTCCCCGCAGGGCAGCTGCAGGTGAAGTCCTGCCCGTCGTCCTCGCAGGTGCCACCGTACAGGCAGGGCTGTGACTCGCAGGGCCGGGGGGCTCTGCCGGTGCCAGGGGGCTGCCGGGTGGGCTTCCCACGGCTGCCACCGGGGCCTGGCCTCCTGGTGCTGCCCACGGGCTCCAGGGGCTGGCCCGGGGCCGCCGTGGCTGCGGTGAGCCGGCGGGTGGTGGCCGGGGCCATGGTGGTGGCCGTGGTGGTGGTGACGGTGGTGGTGAAGAGCCGCGGGATCCAGTCTGGAACACAGCACAGGGCGGTCAGGCTCAGGGGGAAAGGGTTGGGGGCAGGTGTGGGGCAGGGTCAGCGTGGGTCAGTTTTGGGGTCAGAGG